CAATACTTTTGCGTTACCTCGCAATACTTTTGCGTTCCCTCGCAATGCCTTTGTGTTCCCTCGTAATACTTTTGCATTACCACGCAATACTTTTGTGTTCCCTCGTAATACTTTTGCGTTCCCTCGCACTATTGTTTTGCGTTCCCACGCAAAAGTTTGATTTGTATATGAACTGAATTAAATCAGACTTTTATTTTGAAATATCCGGTTACCAAAACAGGATGTGTCGCCAAAAGTTCGTGAAWTTGACATTGATGTTGTGTGGCTGCACTGTGTTAAAATATCAGCATATGACATACTTCCATGTGTGGCTGTGTGATATATTCATTCTGAAGCTGAATTAAAGCAGTAGGCCAACTAGTAGCAAAAAGCTAGTTAGAATCTAAAAGCAGCAGTTTGGTAGCTAATAGCTTAAGCCAGAATAGACTAGGTCAGTGGTTCCCAACCTTTTCGGACTTGTGCACCCCTGAGCTATTTTGTCGTACTATTAGTACCCCTTCAGTCAAACATGATTATGATTCTCCAAAACTGTAATGTACTACAACTGATTATTAATTGAAAATTATGTATTTAACTCCATAACGTTTAGTTCTCATGCATTTTATTTTTTTTTCAACTCAAATTAAACACAAGATAAAAATGTTGCCTTGAAAGTGAATAAGTAATTAAATAAACGAACCAGGTAACGGCAGGTACAGGAAGCGGCAGCATCCAAATTATATCAGAAACTCGCCCAAATGAGCAAATTTCATGAGATTCCGCATTTTATACTGGATTCCATTTTGTTTTGTCAATTCCGCAATTCCATCTGCATTTTCCGCATTACTGAACGTACACGTACCCCATGTAATATGTTTTCGTACCACTAGGGGTACACGTACCCCTGGTTGGGAATCACTGGACTAGGTAACAAGAGGCTAACTAGAAGCTAAAATTGGCGAAAAGTTAGCTAAAAGCAAAAATATTTTACAAAGCTAGCTAAAGATTAGACACATCAGAACCTGGCTAAAAGCAAAAAATAGCAGAATGATACATGACAGCTAATGCAGGAATAGATTAGTTAAAGTGACTAGAGGCTAACTAATAGCTAAAAGTTGCAAAAGGTTAGCTAAATGCTAAAGGTTTTACAAGGCTAGAAGTTTTAAAAGGTAGCTAAAAACTAAAAGTAGCAGAATGATAGCTAATACCTTTAGCTTCTGACTAGCTAAAGGTAACAGGAGACTATGTAGAAGCTAAAAGTAGCTAAAGTTTAGCTAAAAGCCTGGGCCCTTCCAACAGTAATAGTATTTCTGTCAGAATAAACATATTACATGAAAGTAAAGGTTTTTGAGATGTTGTTTCAGTTTAAAGATTAAAGATGATTTAATATCAGAAAGTTGACATTGGTCTTTGGTCCCTGGTTGTGCTAACCGTTAGCTCATCAATCCAGTCAACAACAACTCTGTTTTTTAAGCTGGGGTTATTCAAAGAGTTTTATAGAACAGGTAAGATATTAACTAACAGAACTGATAGAGTAACCGTTTTACCTCTCTCTTTCCACAGAGGTCCCCGGAGGTCGTCATGAGGTTTTCTACGATTGCTGCGCAGAACCGTACCCGGACGTTACGTTTGTGGTGACGTTACGCAGGAGAACCCTGTTCTACGCTCTGAACCTGCTCATCCCCTGCGTGCTCCTCTCCTCCATGACCCTGCTGGTCTTCCTGCTGCCCGCCAACTCCGGGGAGAAGATCAGCCTCGGTGAGGAGCGATAAGAGCAGAGAGCTGGAATGACAATAAGAAAGAGTGCATTCCTGTCAGTCTGAAGAAATACCTTTTTTTTCTTTTGCTTGCTGCGCATTTATTGTGAAAGTTTCCTTTCTGATGCGTCTCTAATAACATCAGGACAGGAGGTTTTGTCAGCATTTTCTGCACCATATGAGGAGAGCAGATGACAAAGTCAGAGAAGCCAAGAGAAAATCGAATGTGCTTTTAGAAAGGCTGAGGATTTTTGGCAAGAAATCCAACAAAGGAGACAAGAATTTTTGTAATGAACTCAAACACCATATTGTGCGACGCTTCACAACATTCACACACTGACATCATTTTTTCTTCCGTTTTTTGGGCATCAAACTCATTCCACAATTTTTGTGATATTTCAACAATTCATAAATCAAAACGTTCAGCTCATTAGTTTGAAGGGAGCTATGACTTTTGGTATTTCAGCCTTTTATACTTTTTTAGCTGTTTCACTTTTTTTGGCCACTTTTGTGTCGTTGAAAATGAGTGGAGCTGTTTTCAACATCCTTTAAAATATTTCTAAACCTTTACAGCACCGGACGCAATTTTCTTCTGGTTATGCTATTTTTCATGTTTTTGTGCTAATTTTATCTAATTATTTTAGCTTTTCTGCTATTTCAGCTAAAATTCTGTTTCTTTTTGCTATTCTTCTGCTTTTTTCTACTTTTTGTGCTTTTTTCTTCTACTTAGAGTTGTTTATGCTTCTTACAGATGCTGTCTGATATGCTGAAAATTTAGCTAATGTTTAGTTGCTATTAGCTACAGCTAGCTTTTCTAAGCTAAATACACGTTTTTTTTTGTAGCTATTACAACCTTTTTCAGCTAAGTTCAACAAACATGTGCTTGTTATGTTTCCTTATGCTAATTACAGAAATTCCAGCTACTTTTTAGTTGTTTGGCTGAAAATTTCAGCTGCTTTAGCTATTTTACTACAAATAATCACTTTTTTGTACTTATATGCATTTTTTTCTGCTGGTTTTACAATTTTTTACAACACTTTCTCTATCTGGATGCTAATTTTGGCTGCTGCTTTTAGCCTATTTTATGCTAATTTTAGCTATTTTATTCTACTTTAGCTGTAGATCTGCTTCTTTCTGCTATTCTTCTGCTTTTTTTTCTACTTTTTGTGCTTTTTTCTCCTACTTAGAGCAGTTTATGCTTCTTACAGATGCTTTCTGCTTTATTCAGCTATTTGCTGAAAATTTAGCTAATGTTTAGTTGCTATTAGCGATAGCTAGCTTTTCTAAGCTAAATACACATTTTTTGAAGCTATTACAACTTTATTCAGCTAAGTTCAACAAACTTGAGCTCCTTAAAGCTAATTACAAAAATTCCAGCTACTTTTTAGTTGTTTGACTGAAAATTTCAGCTGTTTTACTACAAATAATCACTTTTTTGTTCTTATATGCATTTTTTTTCTGCTAGTTTTACAATATTTTTACAACACTTTCTCTATCTGGGTGCTAATTTCAAATTGCAGCTGCTACGTTTAGCTTATTTTATGCTAATTTTAGCTAATTTATGCTACTTTAGCTGCTTCTTCTTGCTATTCTTCTGCTTTTTTCTACTTTTTATGTTTTTTTCTGCTACCTAGTGCTATTTATGCTTCTTACAGATGTTTTCAGCTATATTCAGCTATATTAGCTCTTAGCTTTTAGCTGTTTTCCACTAGATGTTTTTCTGCAAAGTTGGGCCTTTTTTTGTTTTGTTTTCAGCTTTTCAAAGTGAGCTCACATTAGCACTTTTCCTATTAAATATTTTCAGCTCATTTTCAGCAGCTTTTAGCTTTAAGTTTTCAGCATGAAGCGTTCACACTAGCATGTTCACAGGAAATACAATTTCTCCAGTTTTCTTTAAGTTCCTCTCTTCATTTTTTATGATGTTATTTTTTTGGAAACCCACGCCTCCCCGGTGTCTTCAGGCATCACAGTTCTGCTGTCTCTAACGGTCTTCATGCTGATGGTTGCAGAGATCATGCCCGCCACGTCCGATTCTGTACCCCTGATTGGTTAGTTGTTTTTATATTCTCTTTGTGCTCATGTGTGCATTTGTATTTTAAGGTAAACAGTCTTTTCTGTAAAATAAAGCAACCTGTTGTGTGTCTCAGGTCAGTACTTTGCCAGCACCATGGTGATTGTTGGGATGTCGGTGGTGGCCACAGTCATCGTCCTGCAGTTCCATCACCACAGTCTGAATAATGGACACATGCCACGATGGGTGAGTGACAACACTGAGGAATATTACACTTGTTCTGAAATCACAAGAGACAAAGAGGACAATTTATCAAGATCCCAAACAATGAGCACTAACGTGCTGAGCAAACTAAAAGAAATTGTCCGTGCTGTTGGTGGGTGTGTTGCATTAGTTTACCAAGACTGTGTTCGCAAAATGACTCTTGTTTTTTTACACACTGCATTGGAGGGAAGGGGATTAAACCTTTCAAACGTAATAAATTTATACACAAAAGCCACAGTAAGTTTCAGGTTTCATGAATCCCACTGCAGGTGCTGAATGATTATTAAGGGAGACTGGGGACAGTTGCAACACTTTTTGCATTTGACTCTGTTACTCAGAGATGTTTTTAATTAGACCAAATCCAACTTAATCCAACTTTTGTCTCTCTCTCAAATCCATCAGAATTACCTTTAAAGAATATTAAAAACTACATAATAAGAATTATAAAAAAATAAGCCTAAATAATTCAGTTGTACTATTTTTTATGAAATCAGGTATAAACTATATAAAGTATTTTTCTTGTTTACATGAATATAGTCTTTTTATTTGTCCTGATGTGTAAAAATAATCATAAATAATAAAATTCACAATATATTCTTTAGTTTTTTAATGTCACCTTCACTGGCCGTAACAGTTCCCGAAAAGGCCTCGAAAAGGCCCACAGACCACCAGTTGATAATCACAGTTGTAGTTTGTTTTGCGGCTCTGGACACATTTTATAACTGTGTCAGTAGCAGAAAAGGCTCTTTTGATTGTAAAGGTTGCAGACCCCTGATTTAAATCAACAACAGGCTAGCATGAGCTAACGTTTTACTTTTTGTATTAGTAGTGTTGATTAAGTGGTTTCTGTTGTGGATATAAAAACAAAACAAAAAAATATTCTGTTATGTTTGGTCACATTTTCAAAGCGCCACTGCAGAGACACCAAAGAGCCACATGTGGCCCCAGAGCCGCAGGTTGCAGACCGCTGCTTCAGGTTGTGACGTTGTGTCTGTTTCTGTCCGACCCACCAGGTGAACCTGGTTCTGCTGCAGTGGGTCCCCTGGTTCCTGCGTATGAAGCGTCCAGGCGAGGGGGCGGAGCCAACTCTCTCCAACTGTCAAGCGGACTCCCGCAGCAAGACCCTGTCCTCCCCCACCACCACCACCACCACCACCACCACCATCCCCAGCCAGATCTTCAACATCCAACTGAAATCAAAAGTTTTCTGGTTTCAGCCTCTGACTTTGAACCTGTTCCCCCACCCCTGCACCGTCCATCCTCCCACAGAGCCTGAACTCCCTGCAGGCCAGCCTGACCCAGCTCAGCCACCCACCTCCTCTCCGTACAAACCCCCACCCCAACAGAGACCCCACCCCCAATCCACACCTGCAGCCTAACGGCCACCTGCCCTACATGGGCTTTCAGACCCTGCAGACCCCTGCAGAGCTGGAAGCGGTCCCACGGTGCAGGACCACCAGCCACGGGCGGAGCAGCAGAGGAGAAGGGGAGGATGCTGGAGGAACACTTGATTTATCCTCACATCAGCACCTGCAGCCTTCCAAGTACGGGATCCCCGGTTTGGAAACATCCCCAGACCCTGACCCCCCCACGGCGGCCTCTGGTGGTGCAGAGTCCGTGGGGGAGAGATCAGCGGCCCTGCACGCCCCGAGCGGCCCGATCCGGTCTGCAGCAGTGGACAGCCAGCTGCAGGCCCTCCTGGTGGAGGTGCAGTTCCTGGTGGAGCGCGTCCGCGAGCAGGACCGCCAGCTGAGCGTGGCGGAGCAGTGGCAGTTCGCCGCGGCCGTCATCGACCGCCTGTGCCTGGTGGGCTTCAGCGTCTTCAACATCATCTGCACCATCGCCATCCTCATGGCTGCGCCCAACTTTGGAGTGGCTCTGTCCAAAGACTTCCTCTGAAAAGTTTTAAATAAACACAGATTACAGAAGAGAGGTGGGATTAAATCTGATGGAAGCACAACAACTGTCACTTTCAACTTTCTGAAACTTACCTTCAGTCCCGTTTATCGTCCTGCTCACACTGACGTTTCTTTGACTTGAACATTTAAATTAAGACGTTTCAAAGAAAGCTGATGTATAATTTATATTTGCAATAAAAAATTGGATTCATTAACTTTGTTTGGAAAGATGCTCAACAGAGTTGCATTAAAAATAAATCTGCTAAATTTGTTTGTCTGCAGTTCACCTAAAAACATAAAAATCGACTGTCCATCAGTGTCCATCAGTGTTAATCTTTGTTTTTTTTCTGCAAGAAGATTAATTAAATTTCCATTTATTTGCAGGAAACACATAAAACAATATTGCATTGTCAGACCCTTTACTTTCTTTCTGTTTGACTTTTGTGCCAGTTAACCTTCAGGCATAAAATACCATAAAACACCTTAAAAAGTACACACATTAAATAAAGTACAGCTTTTGAACCATTTATAGTAAATTCACAAGCTTGGTCTCTTTTTAAAGCTAATAATCTGAATTTTTAACTTCAGCAGTCANGGGTAAAAGATGTGTGCGTGTGTGGGCGATGATGTTAATCAGGTTTCAGAGTGACTGAGGCATATAATCTCATTTACTCCTTCAATCCTTTTCCACCTTCTTTATTGAAACTTCTCTTAATAACAGCACAGTACATCCAGTCATTCATAGATTATAATCCTAGCTCATAAAGGGATTAATTGGTACAAAAAAGAGGTTAGGTGGTCAGGATGCTGCTGTTGGTGATTGAAGAGCCACAAAAAATTATGTGCAGTCACTGCAAATGTGCTATTTTTATTAAACATGTTTAAAGAACCATAACAGATGTAAATGACTGATAAAAATACATGTGCACATATTTTTAGACTTTGATTATCTGTCGTTAAATCTGCGAAAATGACAGTGAGAGCCTGAAAGATTTCACCTTTCATCACCCGAGATCTAATGAGTTCTGCTGACACACTACAAACAAGACATTCCCAAAAAGCTTTATAGAAAAGGTTGCATGACATGTGTTACGTACACGTCTGCCCCGGGTGCCAAACCTGAGTAAAAATATGCATTCAATTTAAAAACAAGAACATTGATAGAAAAAAAAGATGGTGAGGTGGGACATAAATCAAGTTGTCCTGACCTATTTTAACTTGTTTTTCCTCAACCATCCACATAAACAGTTTCACATTTTTGACAGGATTATATCATTTCAATAATTGTGTAATGCTGTTTTTTTTTTGTTTCAGTGTGTGTGTGTGTGTGTGTGTGTGTGTGTGTGTGTGTG